GGTTTAAGTGACGATTATAGTTGCGAAATTGATGTAACATGTCTTGTAGAAACAATGTGATGGTCTACATGAGTGTAGTATAACTGTGGATGACAATTTGTTTTCTGGTGATCTATGTTCTGGATTGTCAAAGTACCTCTATTTCGAATATCAATGTATTGATACTGGGAAACATTTTAATGAACTTTGTGGTACGCATGGGTATAATTGACGGTTATCATAGTGTCAATCAACATGGGCTGTGCACAAGCCAAATTTGTGTGAAAATGTATACAACCGTGATTTTGCACACACAGTCATGTCCATCTTACATGGCAAAATAGCCAATAACCTTGTTCTTTTCGTGCTTTTTTGTAGTTCATGACGTATATCTATCAAATTCATCTCTGCCTTACAAAGGTGTTGTACAAATTACCACTGATGGTGGGACTTATAAGTATGTTTGTTGGGAAAGTTTACAAAATTACTGGGCCAAGCAAACTGTTTGTCGTCACCTGGGATACGGCCGGTCATACCCTCTTGTTAATGTGTCCGCTCCAACAGATGCCAAAAATGCAACATTTTCTGGAAGTATAAAGTGTAATGGTGGAGAGAAATGCTTATCCCAGTGTAAAATTAATGCTTCAGTCAGCCAAAGTTGTTCTGGGTTATCATACATACAATGTAAGCTGTGTGGTAAGATAGAACTAAATAAGAAGGAACGAATATGATGCGAAGGTAAAGAATATAAAAGGAAATGAAATAAATTTACTTTAGAAGAATGAAAATAGAATGTGATTGGAAAATAAACAAAGACACTCGAAGAACAACCTACGATCGATGGTTCATTAAAATCTAGAATGCCTGACACTTTTGTCATATTTTAGGTATGATTTCACTGTTAGAAGATAAACGAAGATTTCCTGATTCGTCATTTAGTGCTTCTGCTTCTTCAAAAGGTCACAGTGCTTTTCATGCAAGGATATCTCGTGGTGGTTCTTGGTGTGCTCCAGTCTCGGATAGAAACCATTATCTTCAAGTGGACTTAGGAAGACTGTATTATCTGCGATATTTTGTAACATATGGTGACAGTAGCAGCGCAAAATGGGTGGCCACATATAACCTGAACTACACCATCGACTTGGTGAACTGGAAAACCAGAGTGAGAAAGAATAATATAACCACCAACACTTATTTAACCTATAATAGTTTTGTTTGTGCGGGAAACACCACGTAAATTTATTACTGCAGTAATAAATGTTGTTTTTGTTTTATCGCCATACAAACTTACAAAGAACTTATTTAACCTGTTGCTGTAACATTTCATTGTTAACGATATGTCTTCTTATTCGTGTTTGTAGTTACTTCAAGGAATCAAAAATGCTTACGATCGTGCAGCTTGGGTATCTCTTCTAGCTGTTGCAACAAAAGCTTTACGATTCATTCCATTAACATACGTACGTCTACCATGTATGAGAGTTGAGATTTGGGGTGAAAGTAAGTTACCTAATATTCTCCGTTGGAATTCTGATAACATTCAACAGTAGTTATTCCTTATGGTTTATTTACTCGCCCTCACGTTCGTATGATCTCTGCTGCGTTTGGTGTTTTTTGTGTCTTTCTGTCAGCAGGAAAAATGAAAATATATTAATAGGTTAATGGGAAATTTTGTGGAACAGTAGGCTGTAGTTCCAAGGACAAATGAATCAAATTTTGGTTAAATTTGGCTGAATACTGCATGGATCAGATATTTTACAAAAAGTTTCTTCATTTCTGGGTTGAAAAGAGCTGAATGCGTAATTATATGCATTCCTTAATTATTCAGGTCGTCGTAGTATACACTCTATATGAGCGCTCTCTAATTTACCAAATTGTTCATTTTTTATTTTTTAAATCATCTGTTTTTCATCCATTTTACATTTAACAATTACTTTTTTGTACTAATTTTCCCGCTAGCTGCATTACCAGACAAACCTACAAACCTCACCGTCACTGACATCACCTCTAGAAGTGCTGAAATATCTTGGCTAGATCCTAGAAATCGAGGGAAATATATATAGTCTTGCAAATTTCTGGATTGAACTGAAGAACGATAATTCTTTAATCCTGAGCATTACCACACAAAAGGTGAATAAATATAAAATAAATAACCTCACTCCGTATACTCCATACCAAATATCTGTCGGTAGCTGGAAATTGCCAAGTCGGTTTTGATGATGGGACCATTTCTTCGTTCTCTACATCAGAAGAAGGTGAGTGTTAATTGTTAAAACTTAAGATGTGTCTCATAGAGCTAGAACGTGTTCGATTCAAGACAATTAAGACTGAATATTTAGTACATGGCAATATTGTGCTAAAACAATTTTAAATAATCGTTGATTTTCGAAGTATTGTTGCCAACAGTGATAAAAAAACACACACGGAAACCTTAAAAAAACTTTCTCTGAGACTGAGCGTATTTAAAGTGCTAATAGATGCCTTTAAAATGTTTTGTATATTTCTTTGATATAACTGTTTACAGTCTTTTTGCGCGCATTCTTAGTCATTCACGCTTTTTAGTCATTCATGACTAAACGTTTCGAAAAAAAGTGTTTTCAGATCCATCGAAACGTCGAATAAACACTTTTCAAAACATTTTCGATAACACGGCCAACACGGCCCTCTAGCTAAGAGCCTGTTTCCAGTAAATGAGTCACGAATCAAAATAACCTACACATCACATACATGTATGTGGTCAACACTCCGAGACAAAACAAATTAACACAGTCAGCTAATTTAGTAATTTCATCTATTCGCATCAGGCCAAACAATTTTCGCAATGGGTCCTAACGACCATGCATGTACAGGGTGTCTCAAAAATTCAACAGGCTGTCGTTCGTCATCAACTTTATTGCTAAACAATTCAATTTTTACATAGGATGAGGCTAGCGTGAATAAATAAAGTTTGTATGTATATATTACGTATTCCCGGTGCCACAGTAAGGAAAACATCATCATAAGGGGCCGACCATTTAACTTTTGAGGGGGGAGGGGGATTTTGAAAAAAAATTTCCTTGCAAGGCTATTCTGAACAAAAAAAATACCTGCACTAACAGAGGGAAAAAATATCCTGCCCCAGCCGTTTTGTGGGAAAAAATGTTGCAAAACAGATCCCAGAAGATCAGCTGGTTTGATTTTCAGGGACTAGTGTAAGTAAGAGTTAATTACCGAGAACGAGGTTTCTTAGCGAGATACAACCCGAGGGGCGTGTCCCGAAGAAAGCATCCCGAGGGCCGTAGGCCCGAGGGATGCTTTCTGAGGGCAACGCTCCCGAGGGATGTATCTCGCTAAGAAACCGACGTTCGAGGTAATTAACTGACTTAGTTCAAATTTGTAAGGATTGAAAAACAATTAAATCTACTTTTTTGTCGAAAATACTTGCATTGAATTAAGAGAATAACGATTGTTACCATGGGGTCCATATGAAAATGAGATTGAAACGTGAACTACCTATGTAGCGACGAAAAAAATGCTTCCAAGCAACCGGAATCAGATGAAAATGTAGGCTTATGGAAAGAGAATTTTTGCAAGCAAATGACGAACCATTGGGATTTGCAGTGCTCAAACTAGACAGAGATAAACAAAGAGTCTTGAAAAACGCGTATTGAGCGTATACCGAATATACTGTAGGCACAAGACACAACACCATCTGGGCAGTTCGATCGTATTTGGAAAGAGTGGGCCGAAGGTAGAAGCGCTATAACGAACAATATGTGTATGGGTTTGTCGAAGCAAAGATTCTAAATTTGTTTTCAATAGGGTTTTATTTGGGTAAGAATCTAAAAGCAAGTGGAGGGAATTTGACATCTCTATAGGGAAAAGGGGGGTTGATGAATAGAATTCAATTGAATTGATGATTAAATATTCACCAGGTTTTATCTAAGTATATAAAACCTGATTTTTGCGGGTTTTATATATATATAACCCGCAAAAATCCGGGTTTTATATAGATAAAACCCGTGAATTTATAATTATTAATTCAATTCTATTCATCAACCCCACTTTTCCCTGGAGAGATATCAAATCCCTCCCCTTGCTTTAAGAATCTTACCCAAATAAAACCCGACTGAGAACAATAGAAATCCGCACAAATTTGAACTAAGGCTAATTTCTTGTTGGTGTTGAGAATTGTACAACATATTGGTATTTAATTAATACCTAATTATAGTCATTGACACAAAACTATTAAGGGAAGCCTCACATATCGATTTTTTCCACGAGAAACGTCATATGTTCGTTTAGGGGTGGGGGGGTTGGCAGCTGTGACGTTTCTCTGTAAATATCATGGAAAAATTCGATAGTTTTTATCTTTGCAGAATGTAAAAAAGAAAATAATTTGATACAAACAGCAGTCTATACATTCGCAATAGCATACCTGTTCTACACGTATACATCTATATTATTACGCCTTCCTTGCATTGCAAACACTCAAATTTCAAGAAAAACGCGCTAAAATTATCGATATTTCATGCAAAAAAAGTTGTTTTGAGAAACGTTGGAAATTTTGAAGTTCATATTTATAATAAAAAAATGTATGTCAGCAGAAGATGACATATTCCTCGCGGAAGCATCGCCAATAGCCGACCGAAAAAAAATAGTAGTGGAAAATTATACCTTATGTGTACTATAGGAACAAAATATCGATAACTATGTGTGACGTTTCTAAGGGGGGGGTGGGGGGGTCTCCCGAGAAACGAACATATGACGTTTCTCATGGACAAAATCGATATGTGAGGCTTCCCTAAGTGCACGCGATATCCATATATGGACTTTTGACTGACAGGTTAAATTTTTGTAGACGTAAGAAAACTGAGTTGGTTTTTAGAGAGACTTTAGAGAGAGAATATAATTGCGTAGGAAATATCTATATTATCCTTTATCTTGTGAGTTTATTGCGAACGAGCTACGGTTCAAATCCGCATTCGCGATATAGTGGCACCTCCGAACGAAATATATAGTAATAAAAGAATCTCAAACGAACGATGGAAGAGAAACTAAAAGGAAAAATACAACTACTAAGTCTTACAATAAGCGAAACAAATGGCGTTCTCGACAAGGGTATTCCTGAGAAAATCGAAAGGCATAAAGATGCTTTAAGCAAGGTCATAGCGTCGATCGAAGAGTCAAAACGAGAGGTCGAACAGAGCAAACTCGAGAAAGGCGAATTACTTGAAGACGTAGAAGCTTGGGGCCATGAAATTGAAGAAAAAATCGATGAAGGCGACACTGAAATAACACGCTTGCGAGAATATTTAGATGATGTGGCGTCGAAAGCAGAGCAATATAAATGGCGAAAACAAGAGGAATTCGCGGCTAAACAATACGAGGACCAACTGAGATATGACAAAGCGCTCTTTGAGCAGAAAATCGAACTTGAAAAAACGATAAAACATACAACAACAACGAAAGCGGCGAAATCAGAGCGAGTAAGATTACCAAAACTTGAGATTACGAAATTTGACGGGGCACTTGAGAACTGGTTACCGTTCTGGAATAAATTCGAAGCGGAAATTGACTCCTCGGACATGGTAGCTGTGACAAAGTTCGCGTATTTAAAGGAACTCTTGGAACCCAAAGTTCGTCAAGGTATCGACGGTTTACAATTTACCACCGAAGGCTACGAAAGAGCCAAGAACATCTTGAAGACAGAGTACGGGAAGGTTAGTGAAATCGTAAGTACGTATATCGAAAATATTATGGCTCTACCAGTCGTTGTGGGTTCTCAGCTTTTAAAGGTGCATGAATTTTATCACAAACTAGCATATAACGTACAGTCTTGGGGAAAGTTTGGGGAAGTTAAACGAGTGTTGGGGACTGGTGCGGAGCGTCTTAAACAAGTTGAAAGGAATCAAGGCTGACCTAGTTAGAGGGCAAACAGAATGGCAAACGTGGGGGTTCCCGGAGTTAGTTAAAGCTTTACAAATCTGGAAAGATATCCACCCTATCCCATTGAATGAATCCCCGCCTCCCATTAAGCCCCCAGGATTGCGCAAGAGTTTCCACGTACAACAAAGTGGGTCACACCAAAGAGGTTGTGTGTATTGTGATGATAATTCTCATAAGTCATTCGAGTGTAAGGAATGTGTGTCGATCGAAGACCGGAAACGGAAGTTAAGAGATAAAGGTCTGTGTTTTAACTGCACTGGGAACAATCATCGCGCAGCCCAGTGCCGAAGTCGAACGAACTGTCTTAACTGTAAACAGAAACATCACACCTCGATATGTGATAAAGTTATCGGTGAACAGAAAGCAATGACAGCATCAACCGAAGGCGAGAAAGTATGTCATCCAGTCGTAGTGGTCAATGCAAATGGACTAAATGTCGAGCACTATTGGATACCGGTGCAACGGGCTCATACGCATCGGCATATTTGTTAGATCTACTGAATATTAAGCCCAAAACCACACTGAACCGACGTATTCAAACCATCATGGGAATCGAGACAAAGAATATCCATGTCTACGACAAAGAATATCCATGTCTACGAATATCCATGTCTACGACATCAAAGTGAGCAACCTCAAGGGCGAATGCGAAATTCCGGTATGCGTGACGAGAATTGAAAGGTCCGAACTGCTGTCGCTAGATAACCCTGATTATCCAGAAATGATTAAGAAGTATAACCATCTACGTGGAGTTCGTATGGATGATGTTGATAAGAAGAGCAAACTTACACGAAAATCAAGACGTCTGAAGCTCAACGAGCAGGGGCTATGGGGGAGCCGGTAGCCGAACATACCAAATTTGGATGGACAATAATGTCGACAGGAAAAGAAGTAAACATGGAAAGTATGTTCTTGACTCAGACCACCACCAGCGATTACGAAAACCTTTGCAGAATGGATGTTCTTGGGTTGGAAGACAGTCCTTTTGGTGACCAAAGTATGGTACATTCCGAGTTCCTTGAACAACTAGAGCGCAGCCCAGAAGGTTGGTACCAAACTCACCTTCCATGGAAGGGAAACCACCCTCCGCTTCCATCGAATGAACAAGTAAGCCTGAGACGACTGAAAACGCTTACACAACGCCTTAAGAAGAACGAAATGCTGGATGAATACGACGCTATCATTCAAGATCAGCTCAGAGATGGAATTGTAGAGAAAGCGGACATGGCTCCCATCGGAAGAGAGTTTTATATTCCCCACAAGGCGGTAGTCAGAGAGAACGCTGCTTCCGCCAAAACACGCATTGTCTACGACGCCTCGGCTAGAGCTAATGAATCATCACCATCCCTAAATGACTGCCTGGAAGTAGGTCCTCCGCTACAGAACCAACTGTGGAGCGTTTTGGTGCGAGGAAGATTTCATACCATCGCACTCACAGCAGATATGCAAAAGGCTTTCCTCCAGGTGAGAATCCATCCTGACGACCGAGATGCGTTGCGTTTCCACTGGCTAGAAAACAAAGATCCACTGCGAGTCTGCACGTTACGTTTCACCAGAGCATTATTTGGTCTTGGACCTTCGCCGTTCCTCCTTGGGGGAGTAATACAGCACCATTTGAACTTAGCACGAACCGAGCAACCAAAACAAGTTGAAGAGATCGAGCGCAGTCTTTACGTGGATGATATCCTGTCCGGCGGACAAACGGTCGAAGAAGTGAAAGAGCTAAAGAGTGCTACAAGCTAAACAAGTGGAATTCTAACGTTAAATCCTTAGAGGAAGAGATTCCAGATCAAGAAGCAAGCCTTAGTCACGCTAAAGAACAACTCGGTGTAAAAAGCGGTGAAACAACTTTACTTGGACTGAAATGGAACAAAGAGAAAGACACAATCGGAGTTACGTTTCCAGAGAACGAGAGCACACCAACGAAACGAGGAATTCTCAGTAAAGTAGCTAAGATATATGACCCTCTCGGACTTGTCTCGCCAATTATCCTTGGAGGAAAACTTCTTTATCGTGAGGCATGTAACGAAAAATGTCCGTGGGATGCTACCTTGCCTAAACATCTGGTTAAGAAATGGCTGAAATGGCCGAAAGCCAACTTCCGTGTCCTGTAGAAATACCGAGAGCGCTACCTCAAAGTGAAGAGCCCATAAACGAAGTCTCACTACACAGTTTTGGAGACACCAGTGGTAAAGGAGTAGCAGCTGTTGTCTATGCCGTTGTTGCTCAACCAACGAAGACGTATCAAGGATTAGTGGCCTCCAAAGCGCGGTTGGCTAAAGCAGGACTAACTATTCCAAGACTAGAGTTAGTAGCGGGCCACATGGCCGTTAACTTGGCTATCAACGTTGAAACAGCATTGCAAGGGTTTCCCATCACCAATCTCGACAGCAGCGTGGCACTCTACTGGATTCTCGGCGGCGGAGAATTAAAGCAGTTTGTCGGGAATCGCGTAAGGAAGATCTGTGAGCATCAGCATGTAAAGTGGCGACACGTCCCGACCGATCAGAATCCAGCGGACGTTGCCAGCAGAAGCGGGATCGTCGACGAAGAATACCGTCTTTGGTGTCATGGCCCGGATTGGTTGTCAGATCCTGGAAAGTGGCCCAAAGACATCGTTACTGCGCCGAGTGTTGAGTCGGAGAAGGAATCGAAGCTGATAAAACAGATCGTGAACGTGGCAGTCGAACACCAAACCGACGACCTTGATGACCTTCTTACGAAAACCACCTTGTGGAGAACCCTGAAAGTGTGCGCATGGCTGATGAGATTCGTTCGAAATGCAAGAAATCCCAAAACGAGCAGAACAGTTGGACCAATCACAGCGCGGGAGATTGAAGAGCAGAGACAATTCTGGGTACGGAGAGTCCAGAACAACTATCTGGAACGAGTGGAAGAATCGAAGATCGTTTGAAGCTGAACTTACAAACAAATAAAGACGAAGAACTAGAGAAAGTATTGATCGATGTTGAGGTAGCCTTGAATGGACGACCACTTTGCTATGTTGAAGAAGATATTCAGCAACCTGTACTAACTCCGAACTCGATGCTGTTTAGTCAAACCAATCAACTACCGGAGCTGAAACACCACCACTTGGAAGATCAGAGTTTGAGAAAGAGAGCGAAGTATTTAACCAAATGTAAGGAAGCAATGTGGTTGCGTTGGACGAAAGAATACATTCGTGGATTGAGGGAACGACATTGCGTGAACAAAACTGACGGCTCAAAAGATTGTGGTCTAAAAGTAGGCGAAGTTGTTATAATTCGTGGTGATGAGAAGAACCGAAACCTATCAAAATTGGGAATAGTACAAGAGTTTATCAAAGGAAAAGATGGAATCGTTAGAGGAGCTAAGTTGAGAGCTGGGAAAAGTTATTTGGAGCGTCCTGTGCAACACTTGTATCCACTAGAACTGTCATGTGACAAACCTATCGAACTCGAACGTGAAAAAAGTGACTTGAATCCTGAAGCATCGGTGTAGAGACCAAGAAGAGACGCTGCAGTCGCAGCAGAATTGAGAATGAAAGACGTTGTTGAAAGTGAAGATGACTGAACTGATAAGTAGCACAATTTATTGTTTGCTGACTGCGTAATCAAACAGGGGGAGGGTGTTGAGAATTGTACAACATATTGATATTTAATTAATACCTAATTATAGTCATTAACACAAAACTATTAAGTGCACGCGATATCCATATATGGACTTTTGATTGACAGGTTAAATTTTTGTAGACGTAAGAAAACTGAGTTGGTTTTTAGAGAGACTTTAGAGAGAGAATATAATTGCGTAGGAAAAATCTATATTATCCTTTATCTTGTGAGTTTATTGCGAACGAGCTGCGGTTCAAATCCGCATTCGCGATATTGGAAAACTCCTCAAAATGTTGGAAATAGCTTATCTGAGCTTCAAGAAATCCAAAATTTTCTGGGGGGGGGCATGCCCCCAGACCCCTCTAGAGGCTCGCACCTTCGGTTGTCGACTTTGTCTCAGAATCCTAGTTATAGCCTGATTTGCTAACCTATGACGTCTACTTATTAGTTAAACCATGCATATATATGCTGGTAGCTGCAGTGACACAGGCCGATACAGACTTGCTGACTGGAAGTTCTCCAGGTCCCCCGCTAAATATGTCCTCTCCAGTTACACATCCTTAAAAGAGGCCCTGAACCAAATGTTATACCTCATAGCAATATGTATTATTAAAAGCAATGCATGAAGCTAGAAAACTCAACTTTAACTATAATTAAAGACTCTAAATAGTATAAGCTATTTAAAAAAAAATGTTGCGAAAGAGAGTGGGAAAAAAATCGTACATGGTGATGGGTAGGAAAAAATGGTCGGCCCCTAATTAAGTTGAGACGATTGTTAGTAAATGCATATTGCAAGCATGCACTTAATCGATCCCGAATTCAAACAGCCGACTGAAACTGTGTAGCCTGTGCACAGCACAGACCTTTTTAGCTCGGGTCAGAGGCTGGGGAAACATTTCGAAACGGGCATTGGCCAAAAGGGTCACTTTTAGTCAGGCAGATAGAGGCTCAAAAACTTACTATATCGTGGGACAATTCCATTTTGCCTTCATATTGTGCCCTGGAGACTAGTAAGTACGTTTCTGTATGTTGGCCGCGTTAAAAATTTAAACTCTATTACTATTAAAAAATGTGAAATTTCTGATACATTTCTAATACAAATGACTTGCATCAATAGAAAGCTAACAAAAAACTACATATAAGACATTTAAATGGCTAGTGGGGATTTTCAAGCGGTTTTCGAGTTACTGCTGTTTTAAATGTGAAAAATAAGCGAAAATCTTGCAAAATTCCTGGGTACTAGTTTGAAAACACGCATTCAACAGCTCATAACTAAAGAAGAACTTGTAAATCTCGGGTAACCGTTTAAATGTCTTATATGTAGTTTTTTGCAAGCTTTCAAATGATGTAAGTCATTTGTATTAGAAATGTATCAGAAATTGCACATTTTTTAACTGTAATAGAGTTTAATACAAAATTCGAAGAAAAACGTGTCGGCAGGAGCCCACAAGAAATTTTAACGCGGCCAACATACAGAAACGTACTTACTAGCCTTCAGGACACAATATGAAGGCAAAATGGAATTGTCCCACGATGTAGTAAGTTTTTTCCTTCTATCTGCCCGACTATTTTGTATATGACCAAAATCAAGCAGAACGAAAATTGTTGAATATATGGAGTCTTTATAACGTCGGAAAATGACCTAAAGGGAAATAGACTGAATCTTTACTACTGCAAAAAGGGCACTTTCGTTCCAACAAAAGAGGGCGTTCATTCAAGAAATACTTTTTTCGTTCTGTAAATGGAGCACTTTAGCCCAGAAAAAGGGCACTTTTTTCACTTTTAAATAAATTGGGGGGAGGGGCACATGCCCCCATTGCCCCCCCAGTTAGGCTTCTACAGATTATTTGAAAGTGTATTAATTAGAGTCAAGCTTTGATATTGAATTCACCACTAAGCAACTAGTGACTGAAGTGATTATATTTGTCATTCAATTAAGGTTAAAAACAATATTACTGAAGTGTAGCGTTGAAACTAGAAACAATCAAACAAAGTAGTTACTGATATTTCTTTAGAATATTCTCGACATATTTCAAGTTGGTTTTTAGCAAACCATATGTTTGTTTCACTTAAACGTGGCATTCCTTTTATATGTACTTTATAGTAAGATTTTTATATCAATTGGAAGATTGTTTATATATACAATTACAGTAATATGGGTATAAGGGTATTATCATTGCAAGTCATTGCTGTAGCAGACTTGTATCATGTACATTCTTTTCATGCATGTTAGCTATTTTAAGAAAATTAAAACAGAATGCTGCAATGTTAATATTATTTTATGTGATAACGATAAGTACACTGTTTATCCTTGAGAGTAAGACTTACTACTCGCTAACTCTCCATTCGATTTGAACATAGGTGTACCGGTGCAGATGACATTTTCCCAACTAAGCCTGAAAATGCCCGACCTTTCATTCCTCCCCGTCCCAGCACATGCACATGCACTGCATTGCATTGTCAGATATTAAGTAATTTGAAAATTAAACGTTGTCTAAGCCTAGAAAATTAAAACTATAGTTTTTGTAAATGAACATGATTTTTTATCACATATAAAACCACCGACACGGTCGTGATTTTTTTTGCTTTTCCTCATGCATTATCAATGAGTTTTTTTTTTCAAAATTAGTATGGTAAAAATATACAGTAACATACAGTACACTATTAAAGTAACATTATACAGTACAGTAACACCATACAGTACAGTACAATAACATTATGCAGTACAGTAACAATATACGGTAAACAGTACAGTAACATTATACGGTACACGGTACAGTAACATAGAGTGTGTACAGTAACATTATACAGTACAATAACATTATACAGTTAAGTGAGCGTTTTCGTTGTTCGAGTGTCTGTCTGCAGAAGACGAATTCTCTGACTCTCCACTGTGGTAACCCTTACTATCCACCTCAACTGCATCGTTGTCTCGACCTCGGGAATTTTCACTGTGTACGGACGCATTCGGTGAACTGTGGCGTGTCTCTTCATTCCCTATGTTGAACAAAGTGTATGTGGATGTTACTTATTCTTTTCTTTATCAATATGCACTTGTCACATTTGCTTGCTTGCACAGCACAATCCATATTTACAATGGATTACATTGTCCGCCTAGATTTCGAGCTGTTGTTTTTCCTGTGTACCTGTACTCAAGCAATTCGGACACTCAAGAAAATGTCTATACCGTGTTATTTTGTAGTGCTAAACACAGAATGAATCAATGAAACTATTTAAAACATGCAGCCACAAGGTGATCTTGTAATGAACAAGATATGGATTGATTATCAAATAGAAATCCATTTTCAGATTAAGCCAAATATTAAATTATTCTCGTGAAGAGATTTAAATGGGAGTTCGATTCGTGCAATTTACAAATATTAATCCTCAATTCCAGATTAACGTTAAAAGGACCATCCCATGTTGCATCTTGAAGGAACTGGAGTATCTGTAGAAAACCTGCTGTGTTTAGTCAAATCAAACTTGAGTCGTTCCTTTCATGAATTGAAAGATTTCTTTCTTGATTTTACTAAACACAGCAGGTTTTCCACAGATGCTCCAGTTCCCTCAATCTCGAATTGATATAGCTATCCAGTGTAAATCATAAAGATCTCAAACTCACAAAAATTCATGAGTAATTTAGCCAACCATATTGCTCTATTTTGCTCACAAAATACTGGATACCTCGTGAAGTATATTTATCCAGTCCTAGGACTGGATCAAAATTATTCACCTCACTTTAAGTAATCGTATGAAATGTCATTTCAAATCCTCCAATTCCGGCTGAACTAAATTTCAAGACCCCCCATTTTGATCAAATTGCGCGGTCTTGAAATCTAGTCCAGTCCTCATAGTCGGATTAGTGAAATATTACATACCGCATGCATGCAAGCAGGTCCACAACGAAATAATTATGCATATTTTTGTCAGCAAAACGTTTTCCAACATTACTAACCTTGGACAAGAGTTAACACTTTTTCATCTTCAGTCGCTTCTTCAGCGACAGACACAATGAGATTGTTATATCCACCACCACTTTCAGATTTGCTCTCTAACTGTAGCCTCGCATTATTTTCAACCATCCTCTCGTTTATACCTGAACCACCTGTCTTGCTTGGTGAACTCGTGGAATCTGAGAAAACAAACGATGTCGTTTGGTTATTTTGAGAATAAAAATATCCGTGAGAAGAATGGAAGAACTGCCAAAGACATGGAACATAAAAATATAAAACACGAAATGTCAAAACTGAAGATAATGTTTTCTTACTCTTTGGACGGCGAACAGATTTCTTGCCAAAGCTGTTTGACAATGAACTTCTTCGTATCGTGCTGTTACGGACAACATCTCGCAACTGGAAGACATAAAATGTACTATTATCCAAAACATTTATAAACGATTTAACCTGCTGGTGAAGTATTTTTAATCTTTTTCAGGAAGTTCAGACACAAACCACAGCAGCTTATTGTAAAATACTATAATACACTGGGCACCCAAGCTGCAGATATCCTCACTCTTACCTGTTTATTAAGGACACAATGGAACAGAAAAATCAGCATTCCTTGCGCGGAATTAAGCACGGCAAAAACATAGCGGAAGAACAACGTTTCTCTGTTGAAAGTCATTAAGCCAAACACCCAAGTCAGACCAAGGATTGGGAAGATTAGTACAGCAGCTTTCACACCAGTTCTCACTTTAGTAATATTGTCCTGTTGTTTGATTCTGTGAGAGTTCATCATTCTATGTAGGACCATCACAAACACGATAGTGTTGGCCTGGAAGATGAAAGAATGAAATATAGACCCTGTGATACCTTGGTATATATTTGGCTCTACCTAACTTTCTCTTCAGAGAGATATAATAGAAGCAAGTGTCATCCTTACTGTTTCAGTAAAGACCTGATATAGGACGGCAACACAACGGCCAGAATAAAATCATTCAAGTAAACGATTGTAAAGAAAGTCTGTACACTATTATTGATCCTATCAATTTAATACTGTGTGGTTAGCTCGAAATAGTGGCTTTATTGTTGAGAAAATTCTATTGTAGTATACTGAGCTAATTTGATGAGTATCACTTCTCGCGTCTTCAAGTGCAGGCGTTTTATCCAAGACGTAAAAGTTTGTAGTTTGTCGTTGTGAACAGACTGTGGATGGCGTCTCAAACTCCCGTTGGATATTAATTATTCATTTTTTTCTTAAATGTTATGAATCTCACTGTACGAATAGCCGTCGTCGTCACCGTCCCACATCGTAGGTTTCTTGCTTAAATGAGGAAAATATAGCCTTGTGAAGTTCGCAAATTTTGTATATATTTGCATTACGCGCGGGAAAAATAACCATTTTTGAGCCGAAAGTGGTTATTTTTACTGCGCTTAATACAAATATATACAAAATTTGCGAACTTCACAGCGCTATGTTTTTTCATTTTACAACGTACATTTCCCAACCGAACTTTGCAATTTTACTCATTCTATGACGCTTTCTTCTTGCCTAGATCAACATTTAGTCTATAGCTAGAATCACGCATTGTTCTGACTAACAAGATGAATTAAGCCACGTACCAATATGACGAGGAAAGCAGGTCCCACAAACGCCCAAATCAATTTATTTTCAACACTGAGCCAACATGAAGATTCTGTGCCATATCCTTCACCCTGAGTTGCTCCAAGCGATATGACAACGATCAATAAGGGAATGCCTGTAAGGGATACAGGTATTATGAGTTGTAAGATGTTAGATATCTACTTATCAACACTTGGGTTGTTAAACTCTTATTGAAATGCGCTTTTCATGAAATCAGAGAAGTGCCACCACGAAGAGTCGCTGCCTCGCAATAATGGCTGACAATACCAGCGGGGGGAGGGTCGCTAAACCTCTTTGAATGGGGTGTAAGTGAATTTTGACGAGGTATCAAAGCAAATTTTGACGAGTCATTACAACCACTAATTAATATTTCTTTTTCCAAAATTGTTGGCGAGCGGGGAGAGGGAGAGCGCAACATCAAAAAAGTTTTTAATCGTTGTCACTCAACTATTTTATTTTTCCTTCCTATCCCAATCCATGTTTTGCCGACTGAGTTTCAATATTTTGTAGACTACCTGATGACTGGGGATTACTATATTGAAATAGTGAAAAAATTGTCCATGAGGGGAACAACAGACTACTTACCCCAGCCAATGAAATTAAATATCTTCCAATGTTTGTTACGCACGCCATCAAATATTTTGATGAGTAAGATGTATAGTAATATTCCCTCACACAACATCCATCCAAACGCTGACAACACAAAGAAATGCAGCAGAGCCGCAACTGCTTTACAGAAATTCTGTTAAAAATAAATCAGACATATATATTGTCGGTTTTATTGAATTGCCTGTCATTAAAATAACTTTCTATAATAATTTTCTGTTTATTTAGTTGACTCCTAAATAAACATCATCTAGTATTACGCTCATGTTACTTACTTGGCCTGAAAAGAGCAAGCGCTTCTCACCTCTGAGATCATGGGTTCAATTCTCGCTACGAACTCATGTGAAAAGAGCAAGCGCTTCTCACCTCTGAGATCATGGGTTCAATTCTCGCTACAGACTCATGTGAAAAGAGCAAGCGCTTCTCACCTCTGAGATCGTGGGTTCGATTCTCGCTACGGACTCATGTGAAGACGTAGTCATGATCAACGCTCTGCCGAAAGACGTGATTTTCTCCGAGCACCCCTCCCATAGGGAAAGTTGACAGGGTGGGTTGGGATAAACACAGTTACGAAAGTAATATCTCAATTGTTGTCCTTTAGAAAAATAGTCAAAAAGAAAGCCTTCGATCCTAAATAATTGGCAAATTGTGATGTGGTTTAGTCTTTAGCGTCGCATGTAAGGAATAAAATTGCTCCAATCAATTTGTCCAACTCTGTTGGCTACAAGTAATCAAATATCCAGCCAGCAAAATTATAACAAATATTGCCGCCCTGCGCCCATGCATGCACACAAATAAAGGTAGGGTTTATTTTAACGTGCAGTTCTACACAAAATGTGCAGTTCTAAACCCATTTGTGCAGTTCTTAAAACTCAAATGTGCAGTCACCAAATTAACAAAAATATAACCTCAAAACAGTCTTCTCATTTACCCGTTTTCCTTGTGGATGCTCCAGATGCCAGAAATGCTGTCACTGAGCATCAAAAATCTAAATGTTTTCTGGAAGAGGACCACCAGATCCTCATATTTTCCTCACAAATCACATACGTGCTGGGGGTAATGGAACAGGAGGTAAAATTGGTGTGAGCGAAGCTATCCAAAAGAGATTAGAGTGGGAGAACCTAATATTCTTTGCTGCCTAAGGTTATTATATATTGAGTATTCATGATTCCCAGTTACATGTTTTGAAACAGTTTTTGTGGGTGGTTGGGTGAGACAAATCTTTGCCAGAACCTACAAGCCTCTAAATTCAAAATTTGGGGGGACACCCCTACCTGTAGCTCCGCCACCCAGAATCGAGTTTGTCTGGCCCCACCCAACCACACCTTTATTCTGCCACCTATATACAAATTAAGAGTCTATCATAATTTACAACGTTAATTATAAATTTACAACGTTAAATATACTGTAGATAATAAATACTTTGACCCCCCAGCGCTCTACTTCCTCACAACGTTCCGACCATATAAAACCATCAGTTTTTTTGAAATTGGAAAAAAATTGGTCCAGACAAGATTTCCGAAGAAATGTTTCTAAGTTTATAAATAAGCTGTTGGGAAGTTTACTTTGAATTTTAGGTTAACCTAGGGTTTAAGCTAACAGGCTTTTGAACACTTGGATGTGTAACTTCAGGAAAAAAGTTGTCCTTATCTTCCTAGCAAGTGTCGCTCGCGTGGTTTGTCATTTGGTCATACGTCATTGCTTTCAACAGGGCCGCAACAAAGTGCAAACGTTTGTGTTTTACTGGACGCCATTTTGCTAGCAAGTGTCACGGCGTGAGCATGCATGTCGTGTACATCTAGGTAAATTTGAGGACACGAAGTCCTATGAAGTTACACATCTGGTCAAATTTATCCTGTGGCATAATGCAGGAATTGAAGCCTGGTCACAGAATGACGCATGCACTGATTCACTAGCCACTAGACGACCAACATCCCGTGGTAAAAAAAAGATAAAATTTTTAGCAAAGGAAACTTACTGGGCTATCTCTCGCAACACCCTCTAGGATGGCAAAGATATCCGTAAATCCAATGGCAACACACAGATTGAGTAAAACCTTAGTACGAGGTGACTTCAATTGTTTCCAGAAACAAACTTGCATGAAAATTGTCAACACAATGCCGACCAATGATATTGAACATCCGATGGTGGAAATCATCTCCAATAACTTACGTTCAGACTCAGTTAGCTGAAAAATGTGAATGAATATGAAATAGGTAACGCTTCGTTCACTGATCGACTCATTTCGAAGCAGCACTCAGGCGCGTCGTCAGGCATTCCGCGAATTATGAATCCCAGTCGGGAAATTGTGTTCGCAGTTGGCAAAACTTGAATTGGATAGGAAGGGATAAAAAACTAAAATATATGTTGCACTGATTAAAAACTAAGAAAACATTTTTGTCCCCCCCGGTTCGCCAACAATTTTGGGAAAAGAAATATTAATTAGTGGTTGAGATGAGTCAGCAAAATTACACTTACACCTCCTCCCCCCTTCATTGAAACAGGGCTAGCGACGCCCCTGGCAGCATTTATATTTGCAAGTATTTGCAATTAGTCTCTCAACCTACAATAGCAGGCTTAACTCAGAGGTATAAGTGGCAGTATGCTAACTAGTACTCCTTGTATTCTACCATTGCTCCCCATGATAGCCTGAACAAGTAATTTATTCATCTTACCTGCACATCCGCAACATCCATCATGATAGCAAAAGCTGTGTTATGATCACAATCACAGGCAACATTTTCCACATTCGATTCAGCTTCATTCAATGTACATCCTTTACTGCTCCATTTACTGCCATTTAGGTCAGGTTCAATAAACGCACACGTTCGTCTCGGATCTTCATAACCAGTCTAAGAAAAATACATGAGTGTATATTGATACATACCTAAGGCACGGGTATTATGAAGTGTTTAATATATACCTAAGGTATGAGTGTTATGAAGTGTTTAATAATATATGCCTAAGGTATGAGTGTAATGAAGTGTTTCATGTGGTTGATGGCACAGCGTTACCACATATACTCTTCATCTTTGCGCCCAGGATTTGATTTCTGGTTGTCTATTTATAGCCAATCAGAATACTGGATTTGTAATGGTCCATGATAGAGTGTATGCTAATAAGGGAAATCCCTTTAACTTCTAGGGATAACAGTTCAGATAGATAGAGCTATCCAGAATAAACAAAATTAGTCTGGAGCGCATTCATTTCCTCACCTATTCATCCAGCAAACCACACGCACTCCCTACCTGGTTGTTCTGAAGTACAATCTTGAAAGGTTTAGATATTGACTTATTCTGAGGCTGTGGTTCGATTGTGAAAGATACAATAGTACTTCTGATTGTCAATGATTCAGTTGATCCTATAGTATTATCGACGGATTCTTTCAACTCTTCTTCAGATAAAATATCCTTGATTGAACTGTACTGCACTACGGTTGCTAGGTCGATTTGATTGGTCACAACATCAGGGATAATCACACCCTGTCCTCCTGTGCCCAGCAAGCTGATGTCTTCAGGATTGGTAGGTTTTACTGTTGGTAGACGTATTCCACGCACGTTTATGTTGGGTGTACTCAATGAGACAACTTTTCCTATTTCTGCACTTTGCGAGATGTAGTTCCTCGCATTGAGATCTGCGCCACTTATAATCTGCTTCGCTAAATTATTTCTAGACTAGAAAACAAACACAGTTATCATTGAGTCACCATATAATAAGTTGACAGTAAAAAACTCATTAATACTCCCAAAAACCTATGGAAAAATTTTCGTAGCCCCCTTCAATGTAAATGAAAATTTTCATACCCCCCCCTCCCCCCCCCCTTCAATCATCAATAGGTTCTAATGGTGTGAGCTGCTAGCATTGTCATTGACAATTCAGATGTATCAGATTTGTACTCCGAAAGTTCCACCGATACTGAATCCTACTTATCATCTGACATTTAATCAGGCCATGAAACTGATATATACTTTATGTTGATTTAATAATAAATAGTAAAACAATTCTTTCCAAACAATAATAATTAACAAAATGTTTGGGTTTTTTTGTATTATTTTCTGCTAGAAATTGCTGTATCTTATAGTCAATAAAATTTGCACCGTATTTCATTTTTTGGCACTGTATTTCGATTGACTGCTCTGCTCTTAGCCAATCAGAATTAAGAGATTTTTTCATGTATATTATTATAATTATAAACTTTAATAAGGGATGCCTGAATCACCTTACGAGTTTTTCATCAGGGTATGGTATTTTGGTTAATAAAATAGCTGAATGTTATCTTACCTGTATATTTTTCCATACATTCTTTCTCTTTTGACTCACTATATTACTTGATGAACGAATAAAATTTTGACGATCATTTTGTGTTTTCGTTCTCTGCTTTGTCTTCTCCAAAACGTACACAATGTCTTCAACATCTTTTTCATAAAGTTTATCGTCTTCTGAAACTTTTTCAGTTTCGCCCAAAATGTTGCTGATATTCCCTGATTCAAACCCTTCGTCTAGTCCAGAGACCTGTAAAAAGATAAAGTTGTTTTCAATCTTCTTCATGTAGTTCAGACAAAAACCACGATATAGATTAGTTTATATAAGTTTAATTGAAGGAACAGTTAGATGAATTACAATGACAAGTTTGACAATCACCTTATCAACAAGATTGATAACAGCAGGGCTTCTACAGTTGGAGAGATTCACATCACCCCAGATAGGCTGACCGTCATTACTGTTACAAACTCGAGTCACAGTTCCTGTAAATGAATTTTATATCAGTGGTTAATCAGTCGTTAGTTCATGTGTTTTCATCTCTGTGAGCGAGGTTAGATTCCTGCAATATGCAGTTAGATTCCTGCTATTATTTTATCTTATTTACAAGAAAACCACTGGTTCAGGGCCTTAGCTACACCGATAATTGGGAGTGCATATTCATATATTCGTGTTCTGCCCGACGGATTTCTTTTGAAAGCGATTGTTTTTACGGTATGTGAACCTGAATATATATGAATATACCCCCCTCGCCATTATCGCGTCTAGCTACGGCCCTGCACTGGTTAGACGTTACCAAGGGTACTCCAGTTTCCTCTAAGAAGAACAGTTTAAAGTATCCAGAAAAAATTACTTTAGTTTAAGTTAGAACTCTGGGGGAAATTTTTAAACTGACAGAGATATCCATTGGAAATAAAGGAATTATTGGTATGCCAATAAAGATTTTATTGCTTCCTGAGCTTAGGATATATAAATAGACAAACTTGACATGGGACACATGGGTATATTCGCCGTAATTTTCTGATCACATGAATGTAATGCGTGCAGGAAAACGGAAGGGAGAGGTGATACATATCTATAGCAGAATGCGCATCTGGTTCATTCTGCTCTTCGCTTTGGTAGCGCAAAGTCGTCTGTATTTTAAAGTCAAGTTTTTCCCCACCCTCCTCCCCGTTTTTCTGAACGCAAGACTATTCTACTTATAATAATAATTATTTAATAATTTATAAAGCGCTTTTTATACATACAATGATCAAAAACGCGCTGTATTACAATATAACGAATGTTCAAAATGGTAAGCATCATTTAAAAGTGTAATAAAATGTTGAAATGTAAACTTTAATATAAAATAAATGTTAAAAGCTAGTTTAAAAAGATGATTCTCAAATTCATTAATAATTCGTGAGCAATTCAGCCAATGATAATCACCTATTTGATCACAAGATGCCATTTGAATAACCCGGTGAAACTTGATGAAAGTCACTAGTGTTTTCATCAAATATCTTTATTACGCATGCAAAATTCCTTGAATAGAATTCCTAATTACGTTATGCTTGGTTAAGAATTCTATTGAAATCAGCAAACGAAAATATTCTGTTACGTCTCGATTCATTTGAGAAGCCATATAAAAAACTCGAGCTCGTGTCTCACTGGGATATCCAAACACGAGAAAACATTGTATGAAAACACTCGCGCTTGTGTTTCATACATTCTTTTCTCGTGTTTGGATATCCCGGCGAAACACGTGTTTGTATTACCCCCAATAATTATAATTATGTCATTGATTACAAAATTAATAAACCGGCATGTGCGTTATGCAATACGCACATTGCCATAATTATTGCAAGTGGTGTCTGACTCGTTTATTGCGTAAAGCGCATGTACAGAAAACAGACTCTCATCGTGACAGGATATCCCCCAGATATAGTGTCAAATAAAGGAAGCGATAAAGGTAGTTTATTATAGTTCAATCTAAAGAGGAGAACACAAACAGTTAAATAAACTTCACCTATTTTCCCATCAAGGCATTGCTTAATCACCGAAGAACCAACTGGTGTCTTTTCCCAAGTATACCCACTGTCATTATCTTCCAAGCAAAAATCATTGAAATCTAAAAAGAATAAGTAAGAAAAAAACACGGTCAATAAATGATGGAGTAAGCAGGGAGGGGGTATAACACCCCCATTAATCACGGACTCGGAAGATGTCTGCTAGACTCGACAAATGTTTTCGGATCTAACGGCAAATTGTTTTCGTAGTCAGCGAAAATATTTTAGTGGCTCGGAATAAAATGTAATAGTTATATGGGCCAACAATTTTTTGGCCAACAATTTTTTTGTTTGGGGAAAATATTAAGTAGCGACTGAAATGTCGGCAAATGCGGTACTACACCCCCCTCCCCCCCTTCTTTATTTTCTTAGCTACGACATTGGGAGTAAGTATATATATATAAATATATATATACACATGTAATACAGTACTGTAGAATTTGAAGTGTGGCGAATGATAATACTATACCATGCGCATTTTCATATTACCGCATCATCACATCATGTTGCCTTATTGGGACTGGATTACATTTAGGAGACTGTGAAATTGCAGTAATTGTGTCACTGTTTGTTTATAAGGTTAATTTCTTGTTGAAACACTCCTTAAAATGCTAGAAATAGCTTATCCGAGCTTCAAGAAGTCCAACATTTTTGGGGGGAATGCCCCCAGACTCCTCTAGAGGCTCGCACCTTTGGCGATCGACTCGGTTGTCTCAGTATATATATATATATATATATATATATATATATATATATATATATATATATATATATATATATATATATATATATATATATATATATATATATATATATATATACACTAGGTAATGCATCTAATTATTCTGCAATTCAAAAATTGAAGCTGTGATTGCAGACTCAGGATATTCCCATGAAATGAGAAGACTCGTATGTTTTCTACTATTTCTTAAACAGGGAACTTAAACATTAAGTTAAACCTATTCCAAATACATTTTCAAACTATTCAAATGATGAAAGTTGTTGTTTTTTAAGCGTTTATTTGCGAGTGGGAAACTCCAACATGGCCACCATCTATTCAAATGGGGGTAACCGCTGGAATATTCTTGGCTTCAATTTTACTAAACGAAATGCGCTATCTAGTGTATATATATAAGATATCTATGGAAGTAAGTAGGTAAGTAAATTGTTTATTTCAACAAAGCCAGTAATGCCCGTTCGAACGTGCATTTACGTCTAAAGCTACGACAAAAAAATTAACAATACAAATACATGAATGAATGTAAACTTAATTACAATTAATTATAATAACATAAATTAAGCGGCTAATATAACGATTGAAGATTAAATTACTGTACAGCCTTTTCTTCCAGATTATCAGAATCTTCCACAGCGGAGGTGGGTTTTACTAAGCACTATCGTGAGAAAATATTGTTCATTATTTTCAATACATATATAGTAGTGTTGTTTCGGGTGGTAAATAAATAGAATTGAGAGACGTAGTCTAATTTGCTTGTATAAGGTGTCGACATTTCCACAAGCTGACCACACCATCTTCTGCCCCATAATGCTAGCCGAACCCAATAATATCAATAATTAGAAAAACATAGTTTTACCTGATGATAATATATGCACTGGAACGTTCTGGCTTCGTCCCGTACCGTCCGAGTTCTTAGCCAAACACCAATATTCTGCCTTGTAACTCTGATCACTATCAGACAGTTCAATATTGGATAAATCTAGTTGTTTAGTTTGACCAACAACACCAGACTGTTTGGAGTTGTACCAGAAAAATTCGATAAATCCCTCATTGTCAACAGAAACCTCACATGTTAAGGTTATTGGATCACCTGAATGAAGAAATAATTGAGGAAAAATGTAAGAAATTGGGTATTCGAATTATTCGAAGAAAAAATGACAGGGGCTAACAGCATTCGTTTAATAAATCTAATGAACGAATGAAACTAACGAGTGTTTACTGCCGTCTCCACTCACTCCTCTCACATTTATAATTTAAGGGGCGGACCATTAGAAAAGTGATGGGGGGATTTTCTAAGAGGCAATAATTTTTCTTTGTACACCTATGGAAGAAATATTTTATTTTTCTCACTTGATGGCTGGAAATATTTTTTTAGTGAAATTTATAGGCCTATCTTCCAAACAAGGATTTTTTTTTTGCACTATGCCTGGGAAGATTTTTTTTCCCTAATTTTTTTCTAAGAATAATTTTTTTTTGATTTTGCCCCCCCCCCCCCATCACTTTTCTAATGGTCCGTCCCTAAATGCTTGGTTAGTTTCGTTCCGTTGTGTGCTTCCATCATGAGAACAGTGGGAACTAGGCATGGCGGGTATCTGCAAATGTGTTGGTAGTCCAGTTCTGGCCCCTGACCGCGCTCCTCCCACGCGGAGAAGGGTCTAGGGAAAACTGCATGAGCATGCTCTCATTAAACCAATCACAGAAAGCCAGTTCTTGCCCCGCCCAAGACGGAAATCATAGACGGAAATAGAATCTATGATTGGGCCGTGTGAATATTACAAGTATACGTACGTATTAAAACAACGCATGCATTTATACTGTAATGCCAATGGAGAACAAAGTTGTATTGACACCAATAAAAGCTGTAAATAAAGAAATTGAAGGCTGCAAAATCTGTGGCAGTACTACACTTCCAACAAGGAGAACTGTGCTTTCGAACACAAAAGGAAAAACCAAACTAGGAAATGATTTTCAAGCTTACTGCGCCATTGATGTCGAGGAGACGGATCGACGAATTCTATATTGCCGCAGAAACTGCAAATCAAAGCTGGAAACGTTGATAAAGAAGATAAATGATACAAGAGAGACCTTTATTCATGTAAACCAAGGCAAAATAAAACGTCTCCATAAACCAACAGGGGACAGTCACCTAATTCTAAACGTAAAAAGAGCTGCGTTTATTCTAATTCGAAAGCCAACGACACTGCCAAAGGCGGGACAGAGGCAGCGAAAGTCGACAGCGTCTGACAAGTAATCTTTAATTAAAATACTTTACATACGGTAGCCTATTCAGTGGATAATTATTTACAAAACTGGTTTCAAAGGGCCGTGTATCTATCAATATACTAAGCTATGAAACACAAAATATATACAGTATAAACATATAAACAAAAGACTATTTACAAAGTATGCTATCAGTATAAATATTTGCATCAATTTTATACCTAATTATATAATCGCCGTTTAAACTATAAGATTGGTAGTTCATTGTGATTTTCGATGGTTTCACTTTAAAGTTCGTTCCACGATTTCGCAGCTCTGTACGAGAAGCTCCTTTTGAGGAAATTTGTCTTAGGTTTTGGAAGCGCCAATTTGGTTTGTTATTTCTTGGATTGTAATTGTTGTTTATGCATCTTGTAAACAGTTTTACAAGATATTGAGGTAATCGACCAGTTAATGTCCTGAAAGTCATTATTACTTCTCGTTTTTTAAAAAGTTTCTCAATTGGAAGCCAATTACTGTAAGATTATTTAGTATTTGTGTCGAACGAACATCGTACGTGTCCCCAGTTATCACACGCGCAGCTCTCTTTTGTAATTTAAATAATTTATCAATTATCGAGCAAGACCCATCGTTCCAGTTGTTGAACAGTAATTGAAGTGTGGCCACACCAAGGCATTGTACATTTCTATTAAAGTTTTTCTGGGAACAAACGATCTTGCCCTTTTCAAAAGGGCCATCTTATTTGAAATTACTTTGCATTGTGCATCATTATGTTTGTCCCACTTCAATTGCTCATCTACCGGGTGGCCCAAAAAAAAGTACTCCTGTTTGATTTATAATAACTTCTAAACAAGTAAAGCTATCAAACAGAAATAACTTGCATTAAATAGAGGAAGGACTAACTTAGATTTTGATATGTTACAGTTGTATTTTACTTAAAAATTCACGGAGATATTAATGTTCAAAATCGGGAGCATATTTTGGGATGTGTCTAAAATTAGCGAAAATCGGCGTATCAAATTTTACCTCCAGCGTTTGTTTGCTTAATGACATATCAGGGTAAATTGTATTTCAGCGAATTGTCGTTAGGGTTTGTAAGGGATATGGCGTAGATTTAGACATCTTACATGTAAGTCTTAACTTATTGTTTCCTGAAATATGAACGTTCGAAATTATGTAAGTATTTAATAGGTCTTTGCAAACTCAAGGTACTGAAAGACCATGCAAGGCAGGCGCTTCAATTTTTCTTAAATAACCTATTTTTTTATGTTTTTCATGCGTTCAAAACAAAGTTGATTATTTCTCGGTTAGAGCAGGATTAATAGATATAATAATACTTTGTTTCATAATAAACAATTTGTCAAGTGTCATTTATTTACTGGTAATAGTGCATGTTTCAGTCGGGCAAATCTTGATTAATATTTGATACGCCGATTTTTGCATATTTCAGACACATCCAGAAATATCCTCCCGAATTTAAAGATTAATATCTCCGTGAATTTTTAAGTGAAATACAACTGTAATATATCAAAGTCTAAGTTAGTCCTTCCTCTATTTGATGCAAGTTATTTCTCTTTAAAAGCTATACTTGTTTAGATGTTATTACGAATCAAACAGGAGTACTTTTTTTTGGGCCACCCGGTAGGATCATGCCAATTGACTTTTTTTCAAAAACGCGTTTGATATTACTTTGCCCCAATGTTTAATAGTATTGGGCTATTTTCATTTGAAGTTAGACGATGTATTGATCCTATTGATGAACTCAGTTTTTTCGAGTAAGTCAAAAGGTTAATTAAAAAGTTGACTTTTGAAACAGATAGCACGACGTCGACTTCTATCGATAGATATATTTAACTAGAGTCGGATGTAACGTGCGAGAATGCTAGGCATATGGATTGTGAACCGAACTTCTCTGTTCCTTGGAAGTAACACCACATAAACTGTCACAAATTATTAAGGGACATAAAGAGTAGCAAATACTTTTTCCGTAACCAGTCTGCAAGTTTATAACAACATCTCTACCCCTTGTATACTCGTATAACGCTTGCTGCTTGCATAATTTGTTCCTTCTGTAAAATGAAATTTAAATTACAGGCAGTAACTGCATAACTTACGGCCTCTGTGAAATTATACAGCTTATACTCGTAATCGTAGTATAAAGATTAATGCCCAGCATAACGTACGCAACGTACGTAACGTACTCTTTTGCGTACGTTATGCTGGGCATTAATCTTTATACTACGATTACGATTCCCGCCTGGTTCATCACTTGCAAGCTTAATTATACTCGTAATAAGGAAATAACTTTCGATACTTCTCTGCCGCCATATTACTATATTTTGCAAATCAAAACATGCGCAGTTCCGATTACCAGGAAAAGCTGGTAATCGGTACTGCGCATGAGAGCATGCGCATGCAGTTTTCCCTGGACCCTTCTCCGCGTGGGAGGAGCGCGGTCAGGGGCCAGAACTGGACTAATGTGTTGGTGGCAACGGACATAAACATACGATTAGGGTAATTTAATTAAATGCTTGGTTACTCTTGTTCCATTATATGCTTACACTAGAAATATGTGTCATGAAGTGTTCTAATTATGCCAATACGGAACGCAGGTTCGCGTTGCTCGTGTCATGTTAGCCATGGCAACACAATAATTGTTTTCTTAATTTTTTGTTCAAACAGCAAAAATAAATGATCCAATTAAAGAACTTATCGTTCTTTAAAATTTGAAAAAGCTGATTTAAATTCATTGTGTGAAAATATGTCCAAGCATTCTGCCATGCATGGTTTTTAAATCTTTACTTCCTTCACTCCTGGCAAACATCTATATTGTTCAGATCAGTGAGATGATCACCCGCATAGCCATGCGCTCGCGATTATTGGTAACCTTTTGACTTCGCTAATACTTTCCTTTCTCCGGGTGTAAATAGCCGAGCGGAATTAGTCACCTCTTCTGTGCATACTCTTGCTAATAGATCCTAAGGGATGCACGCATTACCTTCAGTAGCAGAAACAGATAACGGAGAAACTGCAACAACTGGAATAACTTTAACTTCTACAGGTACACTACTGTTGATTGTGTCTATCCCTTTACTAAAATAAAAGGAAACACCATGTGGGACTTTACGAAAACATGACCACGGGCGTGGCGTTTTGGAGTTTAGTGACACAATGGTCGGTACGCGTTTTCTTCCAGTTCTGTCACCATGCAGGGTTGGATTTCTGCAAAATGTAGTTGTCTGATTAGGCCTCAGCCGCACATGTGAAGAAGAGTGCTTCTAGCTTGAAGTCATCAAACATTGCAGGTTTACTCTGCGTAATCCTGTAGGACTGTAATATTGGATGGTAGGGCCTAGTGCGCTGTCGTGTGAGACACCAGATGTAACAGAAAAATGATCTGAAGCAATTCCATCAACGTATCGATGTAGTTCATGGACGAATTATTATTCTCAAACGCACTTACCTGGCTATACAATAGTAATTGCCAGAGTCAGGTTTCGCAGTTTTACGGACAGAAAGTTTTGAAACTTGATTGTTGTTTTCAATCTTTACTCTTGTTGATAAGGACAAAATCATGCTATTATTCCTCCACTCAAAGCTCGGAAGAGACGGTCCAGTAACAGTACATGTTATCTCCAACATGTCTCCAGCGTATCCACTGTACTGTGGGACCAATTGAATATCTGTAAATGCTAAACGTAAACAGAGCATGAGTTGATTACCTGGATGGTTGTTTGAGAAAACTCTGTTGGGGGAGAGTACGTAGGTGGCTTTTACTAGGCACTATGGTGCATCAGTGATGATGTTCATAAGAAATGTAGTGATGAAGTTTATAATTTGCTGTCAATTATGTGAACAGTTTTGAAGTTGAACTCACTTGCTATCCCGTAACAATGCTTACAAAAGTCCACCTATTCCGACATTTAGACCCTTCGTTTGAGCATTGCTAGTCTGTATACGAACCATAAACACTTGGGTTTACTTCACTATCATCAGGGTTATCCTAGGTTATCCAGTATTCTCAAATTACCTGGTATATCAGCAGTTGTAGTCAATGAACCAAGTACAACAGAAAAGTTACCAAGGGCGCCAGTTGTATTAACGCCCTCCAAAACTTTAATAATTTCGTTTTCAGCATCTGGAACCAAGACCATTTCTGCATCACAAATCACACTTCCAGATCTTTTCAGAATGAATACAATATTTTGGTTAGAACTTAATTATAACTTGCAACTAATGTAACTATTTAAAATCACCACATTATCCCTTCAAATTAAATATACGCAACTATGAACTGACCGAAATTGAATGATATTGACACCACGATATTCTGGAACATTGGAAAATATCTTATCAAACTATAAAGATAAAGTCAAATGGACTTAAAATAGATGCGACAAAATTATTTTACTAAAGATTTAACCAGAATGGATAGCACAGAGTTTAGGGCACTTTTGTTTGATTTCTAAAGTATGTTCCTCTCAAAAGAGGAGCATTTAGGGGGCGCGAAACTCTCCAGAAAGACTTCCTTTAGAAACAATGAATAAGGGTTGCCACATTACTGCACCTCATGGGAAAACAGCTTTCTGAGGTTTTCTTCTGCGGTAAAATCTCTGAACCAACACGGGAATGACCGTTATTATTTGACCACCCAGGGAGAACAATTTCTGATAAAGCTATCCACTATGAAGTTGTTTACTTTATCTTAAAAATCGATTCCATCACAATTGTGAGACTTACATTATTTATGAGTTGTCTAGCAAGCGTCCCATAATCGTCAGAGTTTGGATCGTTTAGTGAGTTCGTAAATTCTCTATCTTTAAGTATGAATGTCATGGAAATAAATGCGTCTGCCAGCCCTAAATAAAGAAAAGACGAAAAAGTATGATGGGTGAGCAAGCAGGTAACACACACAAAATATAAAACACAATGAAATAAGAAATGGAAAATGGAGCGCGCACTTAAGCGATTACAGTTTAATTTACTTATTGCTAATCAAGGTGACTGCTGTAATAGAGTGTCGATATATTTCTACAGTCAATCAAGACAGATTTGCGCAAAGCACATCAAAGACAAAATAAATCTAGGTTAATTCACATCCTCGAATATAACTTGACCTCGACCAAGACAGTTATACGACCAAAATAGAAACCAGGGGTTAGAGTTCGGCACGATCTGACATGCGCAGATTCACTTAGAGAAACTTACCAACAGAGTAGGTGTCTATCTTAAGAAAATATACTTACTTGTACATTGCGTAGAACCACTATATCCAACATCACAACTACATGTGTAACTGCCTGGAATGTTAACACAGTGACTGTTCTCAGGACAAACGCCTAAGCTGCTGCAATCGTTTATATCTAAAAAATAATATTCGTTACTTCTAGCTTTCAACAAATAATAATGATGAAAATAATAATGAGTTATTTAATGTCAATTGCACAGAGAGTGGTTGCAAAATTCCACCCAGCCAGAGCCAGAGCGACATAATACACATTCTGGATGAATAAATCGAAGATGACAGCCCTTAGAGGGACCGGATTAAAAACAGTGTTTGATTAGTTTTTTTGCTTCTTTAAGTGAGCGCTATATGATGCAAAATACATTAATGATCACCAATAATTATATAAATAACAACCAATAAGTCATCGATAAAAAAAAATATTTTAGACACAAGAATGAAAGATTTACGTACCAGAACAATTAAATCCATTTCCAGAATACCCAACATTACATTCACATACAAAAGAAGCTTCATTGTCAGTACATGTAGCATTGTGATGACATGGCTTGCTTGAACATTCATTAATGTCTAAAAAGATTTTAAAAATAACAAAGTAACAAACAAGAAGTGACTCGAAGAATGGTATAACGTTTTAGACATAGGAATGAAAGATTTACTTACTAGAACAAGATTTACTTACTAGAACAATTAAATCCATTTCCAGAATACCCAACATTACATTCACATACAAAAGAAGCTTCATTCTCAGTACATGTAGCATTGTGATGACATGGCATGCTTGAACATTCATTAATGTCTAAGATTATACAAATAACAAACAATAAGTGACACGAAGAATGGTATAAACGTTTATATATAGGAAGGAAACATTTACTTACTAGAACAATTAAATCCATTTCCAGAATACCCAACATTACATTCACAAACAAAAGAACCTTCATTGTCAATACAGGTAGCATTGTGATGACATGGCTTGCTTGAACATTCATTAATGTCTAAAAAGATAATACAAATAACAAACAATAAGTGACTCGAAGAATGGTATAAAGTTTTAGACATAGGAATGAAAGATTTACTTACTAGAACAAGATTTACTTACTAGAACAATTAAGTCCATTTCCAGAATACCCACCATTACATTCACAAACAAAAGAAGTTTCATTGTCAGTACATGTAGCATTGTGATGACATGGCTTGCTTGAACATTCATTAATGTCTAAAACGATTTTACAAATAACCAACAATAAGTGACACGAAGAATGGTATAAACGTTCATATATAGGAAGGAAACATTTACTTACTAGAACAATTAATTCCATTTCCAGAATACCCAACATTACATTCACATACAAAAGAAGCTTCATTGTCAGTACATGTAGCATTATGATGACATGGCTTGCTTGAACATTCATTAATGTCTAAAACGATTACACAAATAACAATCAATAAGTGATTCGAAGAATGGTATAAAGTTTTAGAAATAGGAATGAAAGATTTCCTTAGTGGAACAAGATTTACTTACTAGAACAATTAAATCCATTTCCAGAATACCCAACATTACATTCACATAAAAAAGAAGCTTCGTTGTCAGTACATGTAGCATTGTGATGACATGGCGTGTTTGAACATTCATTAATGTCTAAAAAGATTATCCAAATAACCAACAACAAGTGACACAAAGAATGGTATAAACGTTCATATATAGGAAGGAAACATTTACTTACTAGAACAATTAATTCCATTTCCAGAATACCCAACATTACATTCACATACAAAAGAAGCTTCATTGTCACTACATGTAGCATTGTGATGACATGGCTTGCTTGAACATTCATTAATGTCTAAAAAGATTTTACAAATAACAAAGTAACAAACAAGAAGTGACTCGAAAAATGGTATAAAGTTTTAGACATAGGAATGAAAGACTTACTTACTAGAACAAGATTTACTTACTAGAACAATTAATTCCATTTCCAGAATACCCAACATTACATTCACATACAAAAGAAGCTTCATTGTCACTACATGTAGCATTGTGATGACATGGCTTGCTTGAACATTCATTAATGTCTAAAAAGATTTTACAAATAACAAAGTAACAAACAAGAAGTGACTCGAAATTTGGTATAAAGTTTTAGACATAGGAATGAAAGACTTACTTACTAGAACAAGATTTACTTACTAGAACAATTAATTCCATTTCCAGAATACCCAACATTACATTCACATACAAAAGAAGCTTCATTGTCAGTACATGTAGCATTATGATGACATGGCTTGCTTGAACATTCATTAATGTCTAAAACGATTACACAAATAACAAACAATAAGTGATTCGAAGAATGGAATAAAGTTTGAGAAATAGGAATGAAAGATTTCCTTAGTGGAACAAGATTTACTTACTAGAACAATTAAGTCCATTTCCAGAATACCCAACATTACATTCACATACAAAAGAAGCTTCATTGTCAGCACATGTAGCATTGTGATGACATGGCTTGTTTGAACATTCATTAATGTCTAAAAAGATTATACAAATAACCAACAATAAGTGACACGAAGAATGGTATAAACGTTCATATATAGGAAGGAAACTTTTACTTACTAGAACAATTAATTCCATTTCCAGAATACCCAACATTACATTCACATACAAAAGAAGCTTCATTGTCAGTACATGTAGCATTGTGATGACATGGCTTGCTTGAACATTCATTAATGTCTAAAAAGATTTTACCAATAACAAAGTAACAAACAAGAAGTTACTCGAAGAATGGTATAAAGTTTTAGACATAGGAATGAAAGATTTACTTACTAGAACAAGATTTACTTACTAGAACAATTAAGTCCATTTCCAGAATACCCAACATTACATTCACAAACAAAAGAACCTTCATTGTCAATACAGGTAGCATTGTGATGACATGGCATGCTTGAACATTCATTAATGTCTAAGATTATACAAATAACAAACAATAAGTGACTCGAAGAATGGTATAAAGTTTTAGACATAGGAATGAAAGATTTACTTACATGAACAAGATTTACTTACTAGAACAATTAAGTCCATTTGCAGAATACCCAACATTACATTCACAAACAAAAGAACCTTCATTGTCAATACAGGTAGCATTGTGATGACATGGCTTACTTGAACATTCATTAATGTCTAAAAATATAATACAAATAGCAAACAATAAGCGACTCGAAGAATGGTATAAAGTTTTAGACATAGGAATGAAAGATTTACTTACATGAACAAGATTTACTTACTAGAACAATTAAATCCATTTCCAGAATACCCAACATTACATTCACAAACAAATAAAGTTTCATTGTCAGTACATGTAGCATTGTGATGACATGGCTTACTTGAACATTCATTAATGTCTAAAAAGATTTTACAAATAACCAACAATAAGTGACACGAAGAATGGTATAAACGTTCATATATAGGAAGGAAACATTTACTTACTAGAACAATTAATTCCATTTCCAGAATACCCAACATTACATTCACATACAAAAGAAGCTTCATTGTCAGTACATGTAGCATTATGATGACATGGCTTGCTTGAACATTCATTAATGTCTAAAACGATTACACAAATAACAAACAATAAGTGATTCGAAGAATGGTATAAAGTTTTAGAAATAGGAATGAAAGATTTCCTTAGTGGAACAAGATTTACTTACTAGAACAATTAAATCCATTTCCAGAATACCCAACATTACATTCACATAAAAAAGAAGCTTCGTTGTCAGTACATGTAGCATTGTGATGACATGGCGTGTTTGAACATTCATTAATGTCTAAAAAGATTATACAAATAACCAACAATAAGTGACACGAAGAATGGTATAAACGTTCATATATAGGAAGGAAACATTTACTTACTAGAACAATTAATTCCATTTCCAGAATACCCAACTTTACATTCACATACAAAAGAAGCTTCATTGTCAGTACATGTAGCATTACGATGACATGGCTTGCTTGAACATTCATTAATGTCTAAAACGATTACACAAATAACAAACAATAAGTGTCTCGAGGAGTGATATAACGTTTTAGACGTAGAAATGAAAGATATACATACTACAACAAGATTTACTTACTAGAACAATTAAATCCATTTCCAGAATACCCAACCTTACATTCACATACAAAAGAAGCTTCATTGTCAGTACATGTAGCATTGTGATGACATGGCTTACTTGAACATTCATTAACGTCTAAACAGATTTTACAAATAACAAACAATAAGTGACTCGAAGAATGGTATAAACGTTTATATATAGGAAGGAAACATTTACTTACTAGAACAATTAAATCCATTTCCAGAATACCCAACATTACATTCACAAACAAAAGAACTTTCATTGTCAATACATGTAGCATTGTGATGACATGGCTTACTTGAACATTCATTAATGTCTGAAAAGATTTTACAAATAACAAAGTAACAAACAATAAGTGACTCGAAGAATGGTATAAAGTTTTAGACATAGGAATGAAAGATATACATACTACAACAAGATTTACTTACTAGAACAATTAAATCCATTTCCAGAATACCCAACCTTACACTCACATACAAAAGAAGCTTCATTGTCAGTACATGTAGCATTCTGATGACATGGCTTGCTTGAACAATCATTAATGTCTAAAAGATTATACAAATAACAAACAATAAGTGACACGAAGAATGGTATAAACGTTTATATATAGGAAGGAAACATTTACTTACTAGAACAATTAAATCCATTTCCAGAATACCCAACATTACATTCACAAACAAAAGAACTTTCATTGTCAATACATGTAGCATTGTGATGACATGGCTTACTTGAACATTCATTAATGTCTGAAAAGATTTTACAAATAACAAAGTAACAAACAATAAGTGACTCGAAGAATGGTATAAGTTTTAGACATACCTAGGAATGAAGAATTTACTTACTAGAACAATTAAGTCCATTTCCAGAATACCCAACATTACATTCACAAACAAAAGAACCTTCATTGTCAATACAGGTGGCATTGTGATGACATGGCTTGCTTGAACATTCATTAATGTCTAAAAAGATTATACAAATAACAAACAATAAGTTACTCGAAGAATGGTATAAAATTTTAGAGATAGGAATAAACGATTTACTTACTAGATCAAGATTTACTTACTAGAACAATTAATTCCATTTCCAGAATACCCAAAATTACATTCACAAACAAAAGAACTTTCATTGTGAGTACATGTAGCATTGTGATGACATGGCTTGCTTGAACATTGATTAATGTCTAAAAAGATTTTACAAATAACAAAGTAACAAACAATAAGTGACACGAAGAATGGTATAAAGTTTGTTTTTTTTGTTGTTTTTTTATTTAATATATTCGCGCAAATCAGTTTATAAAATTAACAATTTAAATAGAAAATATTTACAATAGTAGGGCTGGGAACCTTCTAGAAACCATAAGGCTTTTGTTTAAGGTCCCTAGTTACAATTCAAATAATATAATATTAAAAGTTAATACCAGTCCAATTGTTTTCAAAGGAATTACGGTGATATATTTACAATAAGGAAAGTGCGTAAAAGATATATCAGACTATAACAACTATTTGGCTTTTCACTTTGTGCCAAGAATTCTACTTATTTAAATTTGACAGAAGAAAATATATTTTAATTGTAGATTTAAATATTGGAAGAGATCTAATTTGCTTATATTGCGTCGGAAGATTATTCCACACATCGATGCCGTTATTACCGAGCGTGTGTTTTTTATAATTTGTTGTATAGTACAACTTTTGTGGAGCAATGATGCGTTTCTTGTGTTGTAATTATGGATTTCTTTGTTAGTTAAAAAATATTTATCAAAAATTTCTGGAAGATTTTGTAGATGGAAATATCGGAACATAAATAGACTTGTTAAGAAATCATTCAATTTATACAAGTTTAGTATTTTAAGGTCATTAAAAATTGCTTCAGTATGGCCAAAAAGGATTTGAAGGTCATTAATCTTACTATCTTTTTCTGGATATTTACTAATTTTTTAATGTGGGATTTGTAAGCGTTACCGCAAACTAAATTACAGTATATAAGACATGGATAGACCAATGCGTAATAGATCAGTTTTAAGGAATTTAGGTTTATAAAATGTCGTATTCTGGATATAATAGCTGTACATTTGATAATTTTTTTTTAACTAAGATCTATATGATCGCACCATGATAAAAATTCATCTATAACAATCCCTAAAAACGTAGTTTTTTTTTACTTGTTTTATAGTTTCGCTATTTATAGAAATTCTTAAGTCACATTTAGGTTTCTTAGTTTTTGATCTGAAAAGGATCAGCTTGGTTTTCGCAGTGTTTATAGATAATTTATTAACATTCAACCAATCTGTAATTTTGTTCATTTCAACTTGAATAGCTTCGTTTAAAGTTTTGAGACAAACATCGCTATACAGTACGTTAGTGTCATCGGCAAATAATATAATTGAAACCAATTTACTACAATATTGAATATCATTTATGTATAAGAGAAATAATACAGGACCTAAAACTGATCCTTGTGGCACACCACTTGTGATAGAAATAGGAATGACAAATTTACTGAGCAGAACAAGATTTACTTACTAGAACAATTAAATCCATTTCCAGAATACCCAACATTACATTCACAAACAAAAGAACCTTCATTGTCAATACAGGTAGCATTGTGATGACATGGCTTGCTTGAACATTCATTAATGTCTAAAAAAATTATACAAATAACAACCAATAAGTGACTCGAAGAATGGTATAAACGTTTAGACATAGGAAGGAAACATTTACTTACTAGAACAATTAAATCCATTTCCAGAATACCCAACATTACATTCACAAACAAAGGAACTTTCATTGTCGGTACATGTAGCATTGTGATGACATGGCTTGCTTGAACATTCATTAATGTCTAAAAAGATTTTACAAATAAGAAAGTAACAAACAATAAGTGACTAGAAGAATGGTATAAAGTTTTAGACATAGGAATGAAAGATTTACTTACTAGAACAAGATTTACTTACTAGAACAATTAAGTCCATTTCCAGAATACCCAACATTACATTCACAAACAAAAAAACCTTCATTGTCAATACAGGTAGCATTGTGATGACATGGCTTGCTTGAACATTCATTAATGTCTAAAAAGATTATGCAAATAACAAACAATAAGTGACTCGAAGAATGGTATAAACGTTTATATATAGGAAGAAAACATTTACTTACTAGAACAATTAAATCCATTTCCAGAATACCCAACATTACATTCACAAACAAAAGAACCTTCATTGTCAATACAGGTAGCATCGTGATGACATGGCTTGCTTGAACATTCATTAATGTCTAAAAAGATTATACAAATAACAAACAATAAGTGACTCGAAGAATGGTATAAAATTTTAGAGATAGGAATGAACGATTTACTTACTAGATCACGATTTACTTACTAGAACAATTAATTCCATTTCCAGAATACCCAAAATTACATTCACAAACAAAAGAAGCTTCATTGTCAATACATGTAGCATTGTGATGACATGGCTTGCTTGAACATTCATTAATGTCTAAAAAGATTATACAAATAACAAACAATAAGTGACTCGAAGAATGGTATAAGCGTTTAGACATAGGTAGGAAACATTTAGGCCTACTTACTAGAACACGATTTACTTACTAGAACAATTAAATCCATTTCCAAAATACCCAACATTACATTCACAAACAAAAGAACTTTCATTGTCAGTACATGTCGCATTGTGATGACATGGCTTACTTGAACATTCATTAATGTCTAAAAAGATTATACAAATAACAAACAATAAGTGACTCGAAGAATGCTATAAACGTTTAGACATAGGTAGGAAATATTTAGGCCTACTTACTAGAACACGATTTACTTACTAGAACAATTAAATCCATTTCCAAAATACCCAACATTACATTCACAAACAAAAGAACTTTCATTGTCAGTACATGTAGCATTGTGATGACATGGCTTACTTGAACATTCATTAATATCTAAAAAGATTTTACAAATAACAAAGTAACAAACAATAAATGACTCGAAGAATGGTATAAAGTTTTAGAAATAGGAATGAAGAATTACTTACTAGAACAAGATTTACTTACTAGAACAATTAAGTCCATTTCCAGAATACCCAACATTACATTCACAAACAAAAGAAGCTTCATTGTCAATACAGGTAGCATTGTGATGACATGGCTTGCTTGAACATTCATTAATGTCTAAAAAGATTATACAAATAACAAACAATATGTGACTCGAAGAATGCTATAAGCGTTTAAACATAGGTAGGAAACATTTAGGCCTACTTACTAGAACACGATTTACTTACTAGAACAATTAAATCCATTTCCAAAATACCCAACATTACATTCACAAACAAAAGAACTTTCATTGTCAGTACATGTAGCATTGTGATGACATGGCTTACTTGAACATTCATTAATATCTAAAAGGATTTAACAAATAACAAAGTAACAAACAATAACTGACTCGAAGAATGGTATAAAGTTTTAGAAATAGGAATGAAAGATTTACTTACTAGAACAAGATTTACTTACCAGAACAATTAAACCCATTTCCAGAATACCCAACATTACATTCACAAACAAAAGAACCTTCATTGTCGGTACATGTAGCATTGTGATGACATGGCTTACTTGAACATTCATTGATGTCTAAAAAGGTTATGCAAATAACAAACAATAAGTGACTCGAAGAATGGTATAAAGTTTTTGATATGGGAATGAACGATTAAGTTACTAGAAGAAAATTTACTTACTAGAACAATTAAATCCATTTCCAGAATAGCCAATATTACATTCACAAACAAACGAACTTTCATTGCCAGTACATGTAGCATTGTGATGACATGGCTTGCTTGGACATTCATCAATGTCTAAAAAGATTATACGAGTCACAAACAATATGTTACTCGAAGATTGGTATGACGTTTTAGGCATAGGAATGAAAGATTACTTACCAGAACAAGATTTACTTACTAGAACAATTAAATCCATTTCCAGAATACCCAACATTACATTCACAAACAAAAGAACTTTCATTGTCAGTACATGTTGCATTGTGATGACATGGCTTTCTTGCGCATTCATTAATGTCTAAAACATTTATAGGAATAACAAACAGTGAGTGACTCGAAGAATGGTATAAAGTTATAGACATAGGAATGAAAGATTTACTCACTAGAACAAGATTTACTTACTAGAACAATTAAATCCATTTCCAGAATACCCAACATTACATTCACATTCAAAAGAACCTTCATTGTCGGTACATGTAGCATTGTGATGACATGGCTTACTTGAACATTCGTTAATGTCTGAGAAGATTTTACAAATAACAAAGTAACAAACAATAAATGACTCGAAGAATGGTATAAAGTTTTAGACGTAGGAATGAAAGATTTACTTACTAGAACAAGATTTACTTACTAGAACAATTAAATCCATTTCCAGAATACCCAACATTACATTCACATACAAAGGAACCTTCATTGTCGGTACATGTAGCATTGTGATGACATGGCTTACTTGAACATTCGTTAATGTCTTAGAAGATTTTACAAATAACAAAGGAACAAACAATAAGTGACTCGAAGAATGGTATAACGTTTTAGACACAGGAATGAAATATTTACTTTCTAGAACAAGATTTACTTACTAGAACAATTAAATCCATTTCCAGAATACCCAACATTACATTCACAAACAAAAGAACTTTCATTGTCAGTACATGTCGCATTGTGATGACATGGCTTACTTGAACATTCATTAATATCTAAAAAGATTTTACAAATAACAAAGTAACAAGCAATAAATGACTCGAAGAATGGTATAAAGTTTTAGAAATAGGAATGAAAGAATTACTTACTAGAACAAGATTTACTTACTAGAACAATTAAGTCCATTTCCAGAATACCCAACATTACATTCACAAACAAAAGAAGCTTCATTGTCAATACAGGTAGCATTGTGATGACATGGCTTGCTTGAACATTCATTAATGTCTAAAACGATTATACAAATAACAAACAATAAGTGACTCGAAGAATGGTATAAGCGTTTAAACATAGGTAGGAAACATTTAGGCCTACTTACTAGAACACGATTTACTTACTAGAACAATTAAATCCATTTCCAAAATACCCAACATTACATTCACAAACAAAAGAACTTTCATTGTCAGTACATGTCGCATTGTGATGACATGGCTTACTTGAACATTCATTAATGTCTAAAAAGATTATACAAATAACAAACAATAAGTGACTCGAAGAATGCTATAAACGTTTAGACATAGGTAGGAAATCTTCAGGCCTACTTACTAGAACACGATTTACTTACTAGAGCAATTAAATCCATTTCCAAAATACCCAACATTACATTCACAAACAAAAGAACTTTCATTGTCAGTACATGTAGCATTGTGATGACATGGCTTACTTGAACATTCATTAATATCTAAAAAGATTTTACAAATAACAAAGTAACAAACAATAAATGACTCGAAGAATGGTATAAAGTTTTAGAAATAGGAATGAAAGAATTACTTACTAGAACAAGATTTACTTACTAGAACAATTAAGTCCATTTCCAGAATACCCAACATTACATTCACAAACAAAAGAAGCTTCATTGTCAATACAGGTAGCATTGTGATGACATGGCTTGCTTGAACATTCATTAATGTCTAAAAAGATTATACAAATAACAAACAATATGTGACTCGAAGAATGCTATAAGCGTTTAAACATAGGTAGGAAACATTTAGGCCTACTTACTAGAACACGATTTACTTACTAGAACAATTAAATCCATTTCCAAAATACCCAACATTACATTCACAAACAAAAGAACTTTCATTGTCAGTACATGTAGCATTGTGATGACATGGCTTACTTGAACATTCATTAATATCTAAAAGGATTTAACAAATAACAAAGTAACAAACAATAACTGACTCGAAGAATGGTATAAAGTTTTAGAAATAGGAATGAAAGATTTACTTACTAGAACAAGATTTACTTACCAGAACAATTAAACCCATTTCCAGAATACCCAACATTACATTCACAAACAAAAGAACCTTCATTGTCGGTACATGTAGCATTGTGATGACATGGCTTACTTGAACATTCATTGATGTCTAAAAAGGTTATGCAAATAACAAACAATAAGTGACTCGAAGAATGGTATAAAGTTTTTGATATGGGAATGAACGATTAAGTTACTAGAAGAAAATTTACTTACTAGAACAATTAAATCCATTTCCAGAATAGCCAATATTACATTCACAAACAAACGAACTTTCATTGCCAGTACATGTAGCATTGTGATGACATGGCTTGCTTGGACATTCATCAATGTCTAAAAAGATTATACGAGTCACAAACAATATGTTACTCGAAGATTGGTATGACGTTTTAGGCATAGGAATGAAAGATTACTTACCAGAACAAGATTTACTTACTAGAACAATTAAATCCATTTCCAGAATACCCAACATTACATTCACAAACAAAAGAACTTTCATTGTCAGTACATGTTGCATTGTGATGACATGGCTTTCTTGCGCATTCATTAATGTCTAAAACATTTATAGGAATAACAAACAGTGAGTGACTCGAAGAATGGTATAAAGTTATAGACATAGGAATGAAAGATTTACTCACTAGAACAAGATTTACTTACTAGAACAATTAAATCCATTTCCAGAATACCCAACATTACATTCACATTCAAAAGAACCTTCATTGTCGGTACATGTAGCATTGTGATGACATGGCTTACTTGAACATTCGTTAATGTCTGAGAAGATTTTACAAATAACAAAGTAACAAACAATAAATGACTCGAAGAATGGTATAAAGTTTTAGACGTAGGAATGAAAGATTTACTTACTAGAACAAGATTTACTTACTAGAACAATTAAATCCATTTCCAGAATACCCAACATTACATTCACATACAAAGGAACCTTCATTGTCGGTACATGTAGCATTGTGATGACATGGCTTACTTGAACATTCGTTAATGTCTT